AAAATAACACACAATTTTTTTATATAAAAACCTATCTATCTTCTCTAGAATGCCAAACGAGTAATTGAATGCAATAAAAAAGAAAATATCAAAGATTTGCATAGGCTTTCAAAATATTTTTTATGACAAAAAAAAGACTGGTGACCTGTATTTCTTTTTATTGCACTAAATATCAAGTTTTTGTTATTTTGATGTCCCTCTTTAAAAATGTTAAAGTCATAAATCACTTGAATTAATATAGTTAATAATGAACTAATAATAACGAAACTAGTGATTCACTTTTAGACGAGAATTGCTTGAAGAATTTCGGCAGTTCCTATACATTTAGCTATTTCCTTAGGATGACTGACAAGCTAATATCGCCAATGTGTGGTGGTCTTCCGAATTTGAGTTTTCAGTTTTCTCTGTATCACTAGCAAATCAGATTGCATCCAAGTTCATTTGTGATAAGCTTGGCGGTTCTGTTCAGATGCACGCTTCAAAGTTTACGCCAAAACATCATATGTATATCATAAAGCAACACGCCCGACGCAGCTAGGAGGGGAGAGGGCATACACAGCTTTCCTTCTGTCACATTGGGCATACTAACGATACAGTGTTCAGTATTCGGCGTTGTGTTGCCTCATTGTTAATGAGTGTCGTATTTACAGTCTTGTTTTTGCAGTGCAGTGCAAATGCAGTTTTAAGTAGGTAAAATTTGTGTGCATATTCCCCCGCCAAAAATGCAGAATGATTTGATTGAATAGAATGATTATATTGCTATGGCTACTCCCGTGTTGCTCTATGATGTATATTAAATAGTTGGCAATAATCATTATTCAACGATCGAAAAGTAATCTTGCATAAACAATCAAACCTTCACGTCAAAAGATTTAAATATAACAACATAATAAATTTGCCATATGTGTGTATAAACACTTTGAACTAAGTATTGCTTAATATTATAGGATGAGTCGCTCAACTAATAAGAAAATAAGGAAGTTTATTTGTTGCTTGTAAAAGAGGCTTTTGTATTATAATATGTGTAATTAGTTTAATATTTTCTTTTAAGTTTCATATTTTTTGTTATATATATCTAGGTGTCATTTTATAAAAAAACTTTAAACTAAAAGAAGTAGGTAGGTATATTAGAAGAGATTATGAAGGGATAAAAATAAAAGCGGTTTTGGCAGCTTCCCATGACACGAGGAAAAACCTCGTGGACAAACGATGCGAATTTATAAAAAATATGTTTATAAACACATTATAATAGTGTGTAAATGTATGTACATTCGTGTGTTTTGCAACATTTAAGACGGTAAGGTATATTTATGTATATTCATACGGAAAATGTTATATATATTATATTTAATATCGATAAAAATCAATACATTTGTAAATGTGTTTAAAAGACAAGGGAATAAGGTTTTCGGGCAGACAGTGTCAAAAACTTGGTGGGGTTAAAAATATTATTTCAATACTAAAGGCAAAAATATACCTGTGCCGTGTTGTGTTGTGTTGTGACAATATCGGTTTCATACATTAAGTACGGCTAGGATCAATGTTCATCATCAGCCGATTAATGTCCCCACTGCTGGGGCACAGGCCTTCAAATCACGCGGGCCCAGTGCGGATTGGTGGGTGTAAACGACTGCAGAAGCAGCCGGAACCAACGGCTTAACGTGCCTTCCGAAGCACGGAGGAGCTCCAGATACTAAATTTTTGGTCACCCATTCAATGACCACTGGGAAAGTTGCTTAACTTCAACGAACGCAGCCGAACGCGCTAACCAGTTGCGCCATCGAGCTCCCCGAATCAATGTAGCCAGGTCGAATTTTTAAATACGGGAGGTGTTATAGAAAAAAGCAGTAGATGTATTGAAAGAGCTACGAAAAAGCTACTAACTAAGAGTAAACAGTATAGGCCAATAACGAATGTATTTCTGTAGCTTCTGCCGCCCCTCAAAGCTCGTTTGTTTTTGACATAACACATTTATTTTATTATAATTAAAAGTTACCTATATTCTTAATGGCGGAAAACGCAACTCAACATGCAATTTAAAAAAGAAAATCGTATTCTAAGAAGAACAGTAGATTCATGTAGAAGAACAGGAGAAATTTCAGAAAAACAGGGAGTTCTCCTGTAAAATCGGTAGATCTGGCAACCCTGCTTAGAACTATAATTGTGTGTCGCGACGACGTGTCGACAGCGTTCCCACTCTAACCGTACTAAATATATGAAACCGATAGTCCGACGCATCACAACACAACACGACAGATAAGTGCCATAAGAAACATCCGATGCAATCAAAAGCTTCAAGTACATCCAAAGTAGACAAATACACTTAACTATGATGGACGTCTTGAACATTCCCAAGTATGCATACTGAATTTGACACTGGTTATACTTCGACAATCATTAATAAATTCGACCTGTATGTTCCCAATCGAAGATCACAAAGCACAAGTAATACTGGAGGTCCACATGACTTGCAATAGTTTAATGTTATCAGTAATTTTATCTTGTTAAACCATTCAAATACTAAAGCCAACTTGCACCACCAATTCTATAATCAAATGTAAAAGCTAATTAGGTTTAGGATGCATGCTATCTCTATTTATGAAGTGAAAACTTCTTTAGCACTGTTGTGAATTGAAACACGATGAAACGAAAATTCAACAGTGTTTGACAAAAGGTATCCGTAATATAGTAACTCTTTGCAAGAGACAGATAGTATAACGGTATCGGTCTTAGGGGTCGACACCAAATGAGTAGAAGTAGAAGTAGAAAGTAGTTTAGCCCCAAAGTAAACACTGTAGGCTTGTGTTATGGGATACTAGGGTAATGGATAGAATATACTGATGCATATAAATGTATAAATACATATTAAACACCCGTGACTGGAGTACAAATGTTCTTATTCATCACACGATTTGCGGGATTCGAACCCGTGACCTCTCGAGTAGACGACACCTTGAAACCCGGTGTACATACTACTCAGCCACGGAGGTCGTCACTTCAAACAATGGATAGAGATGGAATAATGTGGTAGCCTCAATTTGTTTTAAGAATGTTGGTGCAAGAGGTCTTGAAAACACATTAAAATATTTTTTAAGTGTGAGTTGCACTACAGAGCTGGTAAAAGTTAAATTTATTACAATTTTAACTGGCTTCGCTTGGACAGTTCATTGTCACACAGTCAAATTATGAACTCGTTTCGACTATCGTCAAATGGCGTATTCCATTTTTTATCTAGCTTACTCACTGAACAGTTATTGTAATGTATGTAAGTTAGTGTAAATCACGCTTAATCTCTTTGTCGTAGCAGTAGCGGTCGTAGCAACTACGATGTGCAACTGTGCTACATATTTGACTCCGACCAGTACTACGTCGGTCGTAGCGCTTTAAAAAAAGCTTTACATAATAATGTTACTGCAATGGTCGCCCAAGAACACTACGTCGCGGAATATTTTCTAGAAGTCGCGGCACGTACCTCTTGCGCTGAACAAAACGCGGAAGGCTTAGCTGCGCATGGGTACGTCTGGAGAGCCAATCGGCGCAACACACGCCCTCCCGCGCATTTCCATTTCCCCCAAGACATCTTAATTTTTACTTCTTTTATTTATTTATTTATTCATGGAAAACAAACAGCATGTTAAAACTAAGGATAAAACGAGATGATGTAGCATTGATATGCCTTATACAGTTTTCACATATACAACTCAAATAAAATATACTTAATCCAATCGAGGCCGTAGATTAAATTAAAACTTCTGCGCAATAACGGTCAGCGCTAGAGTTTTGTACCGCGACTTATACGTCGCATCGGAGTGATTAAAGAAGGAATTTGATTATAAAATAATTAGCCTCTTTATATGACAGAAACCTCCAGTATCATTCGCAGCTACTTTGTAAGTATAACATCGTATCATATTTACAATAACCTGTCATTTGTGTTTTGTGATATATAATGGTATAATCAGTGGTTAAAATTGTTAGAAAACGTGGGTCTTAAATGACTTAATATATTTATCAAAGTGAGTCCAAAGTAGTTGTTCGTATATGTACTCACACTTTTTTCAATACAAAATTATAAGATATTTTTAATTAATAATTTAGGAAATAGATTCGAATCATTTCGATAGTTCACAAAAAGATCGTTGGTGTAACATATTATATGTTTATGTGCAGGAACGTAGTATGAAAGAGGTAGATATTCGATGTTCGAAAAGGAATCAAAGATGAGATAGTATAGTGCAAGATAATTATAAATACATATAATTATAGCACGTCAAAAATGTAAGTATTCTAAATGAGTACAGTGCAGCATTTTTGCCATAATTATGCACTGTAAAGCATTGACCATAAAGTTCATTTTGAGAACTCTCTGCAATTCTATCTTTCGTTTCTCAGTCTTTTATGTACCAAAATTGGTAGAATAATTTATCTACAATATCATTTTGGTAATCACCATACAGTGTTTTTTTTTATTCATCGAACCTTGGGCCACTTTTCAACTCGCATGGTTACTCCTACTGACCCATTAATTGTAATTTTTGCTATAGACTTCTTTGATTTCTTGATGTAGATTATTTGTACATCTGTGTTTAATTTATAGCACGAGATTCTATGAGAATTGAATGATCAATAGAGTCACCGAACACACGATCGCGACCTAAATAGGTACCTAAAATTAACAATAACATTATAAATGTTAGGATTTCTGAAGTTAACGCTAAATCTTGCCACGTGACAGAACATCGTGGGCGTGACATAATAAATAGATAATTATAATCATTCTTAAGAAACATTTCACTAAAAACGTCAACACATAAACATCAAGAAGGGTGCTATCACATTTTTACTTATTGCAAAGGTTCACAAAGAATTTATCGCTCATTGAAACATTATTCGCAATTTGAAATAAGGGAAAAAAAAAACAAAATTAAACAATAGACAGTCGCGATCATCAGCCATAACATTCACCCGTGGCCATCTCCCTCGGAGCGGCCCCGCCGTCGTCACTGCAGCTCCTTGACAGCTTGAAGGATCCTCTTGACATGGCCGACTTTCGTGATGCCCAAATCTCGTAGGTCACGCCTGGCGAGGGAGAGCAGTTCGCGTCCTGTGACGTCATGTTTGGCGAAGGCGTCCGCGTATTCGGCCAGCTGTAAGGTCTCCAGCCATGCTTGGACTTCCTTGACGCCCCAGGCGCGGACCTGGGCCGCGGTGTTGTTGGAAGCGGAACCTCCTTCAGAGACGCTCCGCCTGCTTCGCAGCCACCGCCCGGCCCCACCCTTCTTTTGAACCTGAGCGGGTAGATTTGGAGGGTGATAGCGGTTCAGGTGTATAGTTACAGGATGGAGGCCATAAGAAAAGTTTTTGGGCTGCTCTAAACACACAATACAGGTTATTATGGAACGGGGAATATGGTATATATATCTACTACATATAATAATAATTTCAGTGAATCTTTTGGAGCCTTATACTGATTTGTGTGTATATATCATTTATTCGCTTTTGTTTATCATTTTTTTTCTATTTATTTCTATAAATGTCTTATTCAGCTATCTATTACTCTACACTACTTTAAAAGTTGGTGGTCGGCTGCTTGTAGGGTGATGATTGCCTCAGATCTTAGTCAATAATGCGACGAAACTGCTTTAAATATCGTATCAGAGTGCAAGCGTACATCATCCAACAATTTTGGAGCCGACCTTCAACTTCTACGTCACTCAATTTATATTGCATGCTAGGTAAACTAACTTAAAGTTCTAAGTTTTATATCACAAAGGCTCACATCACATAAGGCAATATGAAAACAAAAGGAGATGGTGAGACTAGAAGTAGAGCCGTATCCCATCGAGAGACAGCCTTCGGCAAGTTCTACGGGACCGCAACAAGGTCTGGGGCGAGCGGGGGAATAACACAGAATAAGTTATTAATTAGCCAATCAAGTGCAGAGAAGCAATAAAATTTTGAATAAAAAAAGTAAGTTTTATTTCTTTATAATTTTCTCCTAGGCAAGGTAAAGGCAAAAAAAAAATATAATTCTCTCCTATGCAAGGTAAAGGTAATACTTTATCCAGCGAAGAGGACAGCCATCTTTGTTGTACATTTCAAAATGTGATGTATCCATAGACACAGAGTGGACTGCCTGATACTCGCAAGAATGAAAGGAAAACAAGCAATATCTTTACGAACTATGGATCACCCTATCGCTTAGTCTCTTTCAAACTTATCTGTCCAGTTTTATTTGACAGTTGGTTAGTGTTATGGTCGGGTCGGCTCGGCAGTATTTGTCGAACAACAAAGCCGACCCGTAGTAATTACTGCCGAACATTCATCTACACATATTTGATTTTACCATCTATCTGTGCCGAGAAACGCTGGCCCGATTTTGTGTTTAGCTACCCTTGGGGAATACGTAGTCTATTCTCAATGTCTATGTATCAAATTCTAATGTTTCTTTGGAGTATTTTTTCACCAAATACATCAAGTCAACTTTCACGAAAGCTTCGGTGCGGTAGTTTATACTACCACAAAAATTATCACTTTTACTGGCCAGAAATTGCGCCTATTTTTTCGAGATTTAGACTTAACGCGTTCACAGTGGTGTAGCGTTGGTCTAAGTCTTAGCTGACTGGGTGGAGGCAAATACTTTCCCTGAGCTTCTATAGTTTGGTGTTACCACACTCAGTGATCGGTCACATAATCTTATTTTCATTGATTGTGAAGGGAATGGTCGATCATCGGTTTTTGGTGCCACTACTTAATTCGATATTTTTGGCATTCGGTCATTATAAATCAAGCAGTTCTATGCTTAAAGTATAAATATAATAAGATACAGTCTGACAAGGATCTTTATGAATGTGGCGTAAAATTGGAAGTAACGCCGCCGTTTTTGTAAACGTCATATTTTGTATGTCATTTACGTTCCCAGAGAAGTCACTCATATTCATTAAGATCCTTGTCGCACTGAATGCTTACAGTTATTGATGCAACTGTTGTATAATGAGGCGTATTAAAACACGAACAGCCGAGTGTCATAATAGTATCACATGAGTGTTTTAATACGTAAATGAGAACAGTTGCATACAAGACTTTATCTGCACCCATGATATCCTTTATTAAAGATTCTGAAACCATGGGGCGTTTTAAGAAATTAAAATTTATGAAAAATGTCGGCGCTGGGGTATTGAACTCACGTGAATGTTTGTGTACCTTAGCGCAATAAATAAATATTGTATTCTACCACATAAATGATAGTACTTTTATACTAATGATAATTAAAGCAATTCGTGCAAAATTATTCCCTAACCATTCCAAAATATCAAAAATGCACAACGCTAATATTCAAGTTTTCACTTCTGCCGGCACTCCCGAAGTGCAACCCGTCGTTTTTTTAATTTATGAAATTTGATGTTTTAATGTTGCCTTCGATCAACAATTCTATAGATAACAGGTTGCATACAACATCGAAGTTTAAAACTGGCCAGCGAGTTACTTCGTTTTGTATTAACCGAACTAATTCAAAATAAGATCTTACGCCTCAAGTAAAGCTATATTTACCGAGACGGATTTTACACGCTGACCCGTTGTCTATAGAATAGGGGTGATGACGGGGTACAGTAAACGAAATTCTATTTAGTCCGTCAGTTAGATGATCAAAAATAATGGACACGTATTTTTTCTTTGGGCAATCAACCAAAAAATGACAAAGTTATAGCGCGTCAAAGTTTGGGAGAAGGGGCTCGTGACGTCACTTTTGAGTGAATTTTCACTTATAAGTGTACTCAAACGTGACGTCATGCGACTTTTCAAATCAATATATCTCTGCAATGTTTATATTATGTGAAAAAAGAAAAAATACGTGTCCAATACTTTTTGATAATCTACCTGATAAACGAAGAAAAAAAATACTTAGTCATCATCCCTATTGTTGATCAAAGCAATAAGCAGTTTCAGAATCTTTAAAAGAGGTTTTAAAGCATGGTTATAGATAAATATAACAAGTTATATTGACTGATTACCTCGTCGGGGTGCAGGTAGGCGTGACCGTCCCGTATCTCGACGCGCGTGAGGTGGTTTCTTAGGGCCCCGGCGGCCGCTGCGCCTGCGCCGGTGCTGCCTCCCGCACCCCCTTCCACTAGCTCATGGCAGCTTTCCACCTGGACGGGGGATTGATTATTATTTTATTTTATTGATTTAGGTAACAAACGGTCTCTAACAGTAATATTTGCTTAAATTAAATAATGTATGACTAGACCTTTAGTACCATAACTTAAATTAATATTATGTTTAAACAAATTGAGTCTATGAGAAACTTCTTAGTTACTGTTTACAAAATGTTTCAAAATCTTTACAATCTACTAGTACAACATCTCGCGAACAGTTTTCTGTAATTATTATAAGTACTTGAAAAGATGTCAATATTGGTCAAGTTTTTGTTATAAAAATCAAGTGATCGCCTCAAATAAGAGTTTTTTGTGTAATTTGTGCGATATGGCGGGACATAAAATGTGCTCTTAGACCGTGAGGAGGGACGAGGAACCTTAAGGTGAATTTTATCTAACAAATTAGTGCAATCAATTCGGCAATTAACTATTTTATATAATACCATAGTGTCCAAAAAAGTACCATCAGACTGTTAATGATGCTGTCCACACTGCTGAGGTACACGTCTTCCGTATGGATGGAATAGGCGGGATCGGGTCATTAACGGCCACGCTTGCCCAGTCCGGAATGGTGAGTGCTGACGACTGCAATTACAGCCGAGACCAAAGATCGAGATAATAATTTCTTTGGTCACCTACTATGACCTCCATTACAAATGTTGCTTAATTTCCACGATCGCAGATCAAACGCGCTAACCATTTTCACCATTAAGCTTTGTCAAATTGTAAATTATAGTTTTTTTTTGTTAAATTATACGTCAGAACCAGAATTATTTTTTCTGAAATTAACGGACAAACATACTGCTCACTCTAATACCTCGTTTAGACTATGCACATGCCGCTGCCCCTCGCGTTGCCGGCAATAATTCCCTAAATATTGCTGCGGCATGATTGAGAGAAGTATGTGTTTACATACTGCCCTACCTCCCACTTCGCTTCAGAGTTTCGGTAATGGCAGACGTCGAAGTTATAACAGCGGCCGCGCTGTGTGGTTTTTGCAATTCATAATTATGTTCGAAATTTAAATAATTAATAATTTTAATATAAATAAATTAATGAATATATTAATTTTTATTTAATTTCACATCTTTCTCCACCAAGCGCGTGGCGCGAACTAAGCGACGCGCAGAGTGTGAACACGCATTGCCACTCGCGCTGCCGGTCCTTTGACTTCCGCACAAAAAACCGCTCTTTTGGGGAGCGCCGGACAGCGCGAGTGGCAATGGCAGTGGCATGTAGAGTATCGTGTTTACATACTCGTCATGCCTACTTTCCTCCTTACTCGCGCTGCATGTAAACGAGGTATAAAGCTGGCTTTCCACGGTGCGCGTTGTCGCGGACGGACGCGGACCAGCTCGCACGACACACCGTGGGAAGGGTCTCGTCCGTGGTAGCACAGGACGTCTGTGGTGGTGCGCCGGTATCCGTCGCGAGGCGGTAACTTCAAAGGTGCGCTGCGGTGCGGTACGTCGCGGTAGGATAACAGGACAGGGAATATTTTATGTCATTCGTTAATTTTCTTCCGTGATTCCACTGTTACTAATGGGTGACAAAAAGGAAAATAAAATTAGATATATAAGTACACTTACCTTAAGCGACTTTTGTTGTATACTGATATCCACCAGCGACGTGGTTTCTTTTTACTTTTACTAGATCGCATAATTTGGTAATTGTTAATTAAGACTACAGCCGCAGCTGCAGCGAAGATACGTTCTCTTTCACTTTGCATTTTGAAATGAAGCTATCAAAAGATCTACACAGACCGACACGCACCGTGGGAAGAGCCCTGGTGTGCGTGCGTTGCCGTCCGTGGTCGTCGGCTGTGCGTGATGATCTGTCGAATCGCGGACCGTGGGAAGCGACCTTAACATAACACTATGGCGGGTACTGACGAGCGCTGCCAGGTGTCGGCGCAGCTGCGGCGCGGGCAGCAGCCGCCCGTCGGCGTCCTGCAGCGCGTCCGCTTGTGCTGCCACGCGCCGCGCTGCCGACACGCAGCTACCCACACCACCGGGAGCGCCGCTCTCGCTAATGCACGACAACTTCACCTGTCACGCACAAACAAAACTCATTGGTGCGATATCCGTTTTTTGAAGTTATACTTCTTTAGGCGCGTTATGAAAAAATTATGAGAGTGAAATTTTAAGATGCGCGCGCATCACTGTAACACAAAAAATTAACAGCATGAAGTTGGTCGCTTTAGCGACCCACTTCATGCTGTTACTTTTGTGTTTACCGCACATTAAGAAAATCTACCAACAAAATAGAAATAGAATCTCTATTTTGTGGGTGCTAACGACTGCATTGTGAAGGCCTATCAAAAGTATTTATTAATCTGGAACAACGGAACCAAAGCGCGATTCAGGAGACTACAGCGCCATCTCTTGACCATTGGTGTAGTAGAACCAAAAACCACTTCTTTATTTTTTGTAATAAAGTAACAAAAAGTATTTATTAATCTGGAACAACGGAACCAAAGCGCGATTCAGGAGACTACAGCGCCATCTCTTGACCATTGGTGTAGTAGAACCAAAAACCACATATTTATTTTTTGTAATAAAGTAACAGTTATAGGTATTCATATTTATAATATTTATCCACATGTTTCTAGTTTGTATATTCGGAATACGTGTTTGAGTTTCATACAAGTGCAAATCACATATGTTCTAATAAATTATATTCAGTAGCGATTTTAATTGAATATTTTGATTATTTATTTATTTTTTCAAATTAAAACTGAACTTTATTGACTGTGTCCTTTTCCAGACTTTTTATTAATTTATTGTAATTAATTATTTGCATGCAATTAAAAACTAATTTTAAACGATGCCAAAGAAGGATAACTTCTCACGCGCCTACATAAGTACACGCACCCATTTTTTTTTTTATTTATTGTTTGAAAAAAAAAATAGAGTAAAATGTTAAATAATAACAAAAAGCCAATAGGTCTTCACCAATAAAAACACATGACACCATAATTATGCACACTTTTAACATTATAATTACAAAAACGTGCATTGTACAATTGCCTATTTGTCAAAAGACGCTAGTGTTAAACAAATCAGTGCTAGTTTTCTCAGATATAACATTGAAATTATGACCGGCGCGCAAGAGATATGAATTCTGTCTAAAGTTTGAGGATGCCAGTGGAACGCATATAAGGGGATAAATAATAAAAAAGATTAAATAAATATAAATAATGAAGATAAAATAATCTAAGTGGTTTTGTTGTAGCCCTAAGGGAAATCCTAGACAGTAAAACTGGGCTGTCAATAGCATCAAAAGCTATTTTGAATAAAAAATACTAAATCTGCAATTAGACGGCTTTTTTACAGTGGGTTTTAAGAACAATAGAGAAAAATATTCCCTTGTTTGTTACATGTAATGACGACCTCCGTGGCCGAGTGGTTTGTACGCCGGGTTTCATGGTGTCGCCGACTTGAGAGGTCCCGGGTTCGAATCCAGGTGGGGGCAGATGTTTGTGTGATGAATACGAGCATTTGGACTCCAGTCATGGATGTCTAATGTTTTTCTATATAAATATACATATATATGTACAGTATATGTATTCTATCCGTTACCCTAGCATCCCATAACACAAGCCTTATAGTGCTTACTTTGGGGCTAGGCTAATTGGTGTTTCAACGTTTCTAATTTGATATTGTAATTGCATGCAATATGAAGAAGTGGCACTGCCACGCTGCCTCCTACATAATAAATATATACTTAAGAAATTCCCCAAAAAGTTAATTCGGTTTTTAGTAGAATAGTGTGTATTCGTCTGGATGGCAAAGAATCCTGGCTCGTAGAACAGAGACCACTTGAATTTTTCTAGCAGTTTGCTTAGATATGCTTAAATAATAAATATACCAAACAAAAGTTAATATATTTGTTTCTTAGGTTTTCACGCACATCACTAATTAAATAAAACAAGTTTCAACGGGTTAGAAGCATTGATTTCGTGGGAATGACGACGACGCATTCCCGCAAAGGATGCGAAACGTCAATATATATAAGAAAAAACAGTGCATCTAACCCGTTGAAAATTGTTTTATTCAAAAGATAATGGGTGTATTCCGTTATATATACTAGTACACTGGCCAGCGCTAATGACGTCATGAATCGACGAAATATTAAAAATAGTGCGAATAAAGAAGATTTTTTATACACCTCATCAATTAAAAGGAATTCTTTTTGTCCGGATGCTATTATTGTTCTTTAAATAAAAAAGAAATAAAATTCGAATGCATCTCACGCACGTTCCATCATACGCCATATTCGTTTTCCCGGTAAAAATATGGTAGCATACCAGTACAATATGGCATTGGATACTGATGTTTCTTTCGGAATACACCCAATAAGTTGAGATGTTCGTACATCCACGCGGACCAGCAATGCACTGACCATTATGCTACCACGGCCCTATTAGCCGCGTCGAAATTTTCCTAGCCTCAAGCTGCAAGGCAGCGCCATCTCTTCGCATTGTAGGTAATCCACAATGTCAAATGAATACTTTTTCAAGTATTAAACATTTGAAAGAAGAAATAGCAATTATAAAGAAAAGTTTACTAGAAAAAAAAACCACGCGGACCAGGCAGCGGACGGGACTCGAACCCGCACCCTTCGCTATCCGGGCGAATGCACTGACCATTATGCTACCACGGCCCTATTCGCCGCGTCGAAATTTTCCTAGCCTTAAGCTGCAAGGCAAGGCAAGGCAAGCTTAGATTTAAACATCTAGCAGTTAAATGCTTAAAAAATAAATAAAATCATGTTCGTACATGTTTGACTAGCGTGTTGATGTCGTCGAGTAACGCCAGCAGCTGCGCGTTCTCCGCGTGCGAGAGCGCCGCCTTGGACCACGGCGCCGCACCCGCGAGCGCGTGCGCTTTCATTTGCTGCTTCTCGTCCCATGTCCTACAACAAATGTGCGTAATTATTAATTCATTATCATTATCATCATCAGCCTATTAGTGTCCCCACTGCTGGAGCACAGGCCTTCCCTATGGATGGAATTGGGAGATTGGGCCATGACCCACCACGCGGGCCCAGTGCGGATTCAGTGGCGGCGTTAGGTGTCGGCGACGTCGGCCACCGCCGACGGCCTCGCGCCTGAGGGGGCCTCGCAAAAAATTTTTACAAGTTACCTATATTTTTTCGTTTCTCCTGGCCTGGCTTAGGTAGCCGATCCCGAACAATTCGGGGAAAAAGCTAAGCAGATGATAATGACTTTTATTATTTTCGAACACGTGCGTGATGGAAGCGAGTAGTATTTTACAGGTATTCAGAATCGTCTGTCTGGCAACACTATTTTTGTAATTAAATTTCTATGTTTGTAATTATTTTTTGTTATCATTTGATTATCAACAATAAAACTCGTTTACTCATACGTTATTTTATACTGCGAAGTAAAATAGGCCTCGCGAACTTGATGTCGCCGACGTCCACATGTGGTCTAGCGCCGCCACTGTGCGGATTGGTGGGTGTAAACGACTGCAGAAGCAGCCGGAACCAACGGCTTAACGTGCCTTCCAAAGCACGGAGGAGCTCAAGATAGTAAATTTTTGTTCACCCATCCAATGACCGACCACAGCGAAAGTTGCTTAACTTCAACGATCGTAGCCGAATGCGCCAACCGCTTCCGCCATCGAGCTACTCCTCTTTCTCCTAGTTATTAATTATCTTGCTTAAAATAAATTAATGATGAGTCTTTGTTATGGAGAAAATGTTTATTTCTCCAGTTTATTAGTCTTCGTACTAATTAATGTACTAAGTATGCGTCGTCGCCCGTCGCTCAATGTACCCTTAGGTCACACAAACTATCGACACAACACATTCGTAATGCGCGGATGTGAAATTTGTTGTAAACAAATATAGCATTGAGAACGACTTTGACTTATTCTTGAAAAGTCCAGCGACAATCAGACGAACTATAGTGTCGATTTATTTTAAATAGGCATTAATTAAACAAGTGGGTATGCTCAATATTCAAATTGGCGTCTGTTTCTATTCTAAAGATAGTATAATTGTTAACTTTAACAAATAAACTATGATATGAGAAAGCATATTATAGTAGATTTGTTTTTTAGGTTTTCACGCACATCACTCATTAATTAAAACTAGTTTTAACGGGTTAATGCACGAACTTTATTTATTTATTGACGTTTCGCAGTATTTTGAGGCCTGCACCGTCAGAATAAATTCTGACGTCATTTATTCTGACGATGCAGACCTGAAAAGGCTGCGAAACGTCGATAAATAAATTAACCCGTTAAAACTACTTTTATTTCATATTATGATGAAAGATTGTTAGATAGTTATATAAGCATTTTTAATAAGTGAAGGTTTTCAATTGACTTTTAGATATGGTTTTTTGTTTATTTAATAAGTGATTGATAGTTGTAAACCTTCCTAAAATAAAAGAAATAAAAAATAAATAAATATTTTTTTTTGCTAAAAGGATGGCAAACAAGGGTATGGCCCGCCTGGTGGAAGGCACCATAGGCTATAAACGCTTGCGATATCAAAATAGGGTATTTGACAGTATTAAAAATAAAGTGCCAATTGTTAGCATCTGTATTAAGAATGAATATTGGCAGGAGTTTTTACTATTTTTACAGAAAATATATTCATAATTTTACTAAAACCCACGATAAAGATAATAGTTTTCTTGTCTTTTGTCACGTGACCCAAAACGCTTGGGATTGGTGGAGCCTAAAATTACGTCACACGCAAGTAAACTTCTGGTTAAAGTCACATTTCATTGTATGGTTTGACGTTTTAATGACAGTCGTGTGACGTCACTCACCAGTGAGACGCCATATTGTCCAGAGATACGTTTTCCGCGGCAACTTGAAAATAGAGTTTTTGATTTAGTTATTTTACCGAAATACACAACATAATGATTAATATCCATTTTCTGGACTCTATGAACATTAGTAAATAACGTGAGATCGTTTTCTAAAACTTGTCTAATACCCTATTATCACTCGCGCAGTTGCCTACTCTGACCTTATCCCTTATCCCGTGGAGCCCTGGATCCTTACTCGCCAATAATAACAGTGACTATATGATATCGTCGCGAAAAGGAAAGTAATTTTTCCGAAGATGTTTGCACTGAGTAGGTATGCATGGAGAATAGTAATACTCCTACTCAATGAGTGCGCAAATGTATGCTTTTGAAGAGAAGGTTATTATTATGGGCCGTAAAACAAAAGTACTTTGTCCGTTCTGTTCTTCTAGTAGAACTGGTGGATTGTACGCATTATATTTCAGAGGGAGATCGAACCTGAGGCTAGTTTCCAGGGCTCTAGATCGGCACAGCATCTGCGCGCGGTTCTTATGTATTATCCGCACACAGCCCGGAGGCTGCAGCCACGCCTCGCCGTCCACCTGCACGGGGACGCACTCCTCGCCCAGGATGTTGATCTGGACGGCGCGGCACTGCGCTATGCGGTGCTTCTGAAGGTTGATGAGTCGGGAAGCGGCCATTTGTGCTGAGCCAAACACTGCTACCACCTGTAGAAATTCAAGCACTTTTGTAAGAATGGGAGAAGTATGAATAAGAGTGGGATATTTTATATTTCGGCTTTTGTATAAGCAGTGGCGGCGCTAGGCGTCGGCGACGTCGGCCACCGCCGACGGCCTCGCGCCTGAGCCCCCTCAGGCGCCCCGTAAAAATTTTTACTAGTTAGGTACCTATTTATTTTCGTTTCTCCTGGCCTGACTTAGGTAGCCGACCTCGAACAATTCGGGGAAAAAGCTAAGCAGATGATAATGACTTTTATTATTTTCGAACACGTGCGTGATGGAAGCGAGTAGTACTTTACAGGTATTCAGAATCGTCTGTCTGGCAACACTGTTTTTGTAATTAAATTTCTATGTTTGTAATTATTTTTTGTCATCATTTGATTATCAACAATAAAACTCGTTTACTCATACGTTATTATATAATTTGGCTCACTTAATTTAACGGTTTTTTAATGCGAAGTAAAATAGGCCTCGCGAACTTGATGTCGCCGACGTCCACATGTGGTCTAACCCCGCCACTGTGTATAAGTTATATCCTGGAACGGACCTCACTCGCTTTTTATTGCTTAACTGTTAAAGACATTAGCCTAATTGGTATGCTGCATTATGGCATGATTTTATATATGGCTAGTTCAACGAGTGAACACAACAGTTTGTATTTGTATTTATACTGTATGATAAATGCAGGTAAACAATTAATGTATATTTAATCATTATGTAATGAAAGGTGACTTCATGAATCATCTCTGAAGGCATTTGTAAAACTTGACAAATCTGTAAATAATAAAACAGGGAGAAAAAACAGCCCTTGCTGAGTTTCTTGTCGGTTCTTCTCAGTACAAGGTCTCCCGCCGTAGATTTACGAACCGATGGCGTAGCTTCTAGACATTCATGAGTGCTTGTACTCGTAACAGCCTAAACTGAATAAATGATTTTGATTATGATGATGATTATTTTAACAAACAGAAGAATGAATTAGATGTTTCTTTTATACCTATAAATGTCATAGCATCCCAACTAACACGATGTTGTAAATTAAGAGCGGTTTCCTTAACTTTAAAAACTAAATTTGGCAGCAGTTTCCAATTCTTACTGTCTAAAGGACATGATAAGGTTAATATACTGTTTTCAAATTTAGATTTACATTAAGGGATCAGAATCAGTCATCAGATCTTCGAATGACGGCGCGAGGAATATGTCATCGGTTGCCGCTCCAGAGGGTGTGCACCACGATGTCTTGCAGCTCTTGTAGGGGGATCTGCTGTGTTTCAATTGTTAGAAACGACTTGCCTCTATAATTCGATCGTCGAATGAAGGCACGAGGAATATGTCGTCAGCTCGGTTGCCGCCCCAGAAGTTGATGCCGCCCATGAATGAGGGGATGTTGAGCACCACGATGCCTTTCAGCTCTTGTAGGGGGATCTGCTGCGTTTTAATTGTAAGAAATGTTTGCCTCTATAATTCGATAGTCGAATGAAGGCACGAGGAATATGTCGTCAGCTCGGTTGCCACCCCAGATGTTGGTGCCGCCCATGAATGAGGGGATGTTGAGCACCACGATGCCTTTCAGTTCTGGTAGGGGGAGCTGCTGCGATTCAATTGTAAGAAACGACTTGCCTCTAAAATTCGATCGTCGAATGAAGGCGCGAGGAATATGTCGTCAGCTCGGTTGCCGCCCCAGAAGTTGGTGCCACCCATGAATGAAGGGATGTTGAGCACAACGATGCCTTGCAGCTCCGGCAGGGGGATCCGCTGCCCGTCGCATTCCAGCTGCACACGTTGACCCAGGTGCCTAAAAGGAATATAATGTAAGTGAGAAAGACGACGATGATGGTACTAAGGATACCTTAATATACTTTTAAAAGAAATAAAATTTAGAAGCATAGTTCAGTCATAAGTGTTTAAAATTTGTTTTGAAACCATGAAGGGCTCCGGAAATTCAAAAGGCTTCGTAGTGAACTTGAATGTGTATCTGTTTAAAATGTTCATTACGTTAAGTAACGTGAAACTATGACATAAATCGACAATAACATCATTGTTAAAAATTCACGACTTGTTATCATCATCATCATCAGCCTATTAATGTCCCCACTGCTGGGGCACAGGTCTTCCCTATGGATGGAATAGGGAGATTGGGCCATGACCCACCACGCGGGCCCAGTGCGGATTGGCGGGTGCTAACGACTGCAGATGCAGCCTGGACCAACGGCTTAACGTGCCTTCTGAAGCACGGAGAAACTCGAGATAGAAGATTTTTGGTCACCCATCCAATGATCGACCACTGCGAAAGTTGCTTAACTTCAACGATCGCAGCCGAACGAGCAAATCATCCCCTGTTGGTCACCTATCCAATGAGCAAACGAGCTAACACCTGCGCCATTGATGAAAAAGAAATTAATTTTACTAAGATTCTTCGAACATTAATTCAATTCAACTTACCTGTAAGTCCTGTTCACCCATTCCTTAGAACCAAGCACGCCGTACCACATGTAGTTCCTGGCCCGTGATCTACACTTCTCCGGATGTTCCTCCCTCTTATTGTGAAAGTCTAGCGTGATCTTCGCATCGATACCAATTCCAAAATAGTTGTTCATCACCGCTCTCTCATAGAACCCTTCGAGAGTTGTATCATCAGGATCCATAAGTGGACTGACGGCAGCACAGAGTGCATCAGCGTTAGCTAGTAGACATTGACTGATGAAACCCTGGGCCACGTGAGGGAATGCTGGCAACTGCACAAGTGGGTTTATTATGGGAAGTTTCTTTGTCTTCTCGTTGACTTCGCTCTTTGATGACCCAATCCCACTCATGGCGCCACCCTCGCCCCATATTGATGACACTGATGTTGATAATCTGCTTTGAAATAAAATAATTTTGTAATTGTCGTATGTTTCGCAAAAATATATGAGGAGCTTAACAAATATATAAAAAATATATGGGACTCCTAATGAGATACTGTATAATTTTTTTTTTCACACACTAATTGGCCTAGCCCCAAAGTAAGCACTATAAGGTTTTCGTTATGGGATACTAGGGTAACGGATAGAATACATATATTGTTTAAATATAAGTATATTTATATAGAAATACATATTAAACATCCATGACTGGAGTACAAATACACGTATTCATCTCACAAACATCTGCCCCCACCGGGATTCGAACCCGGGACCTCTCGAGTCGGCGACACCATGAAACCCAGCGTACAAACCACTCGGTCACGGAGGTCGTTTAATCAAATAAAATAAATAACGAAAATCTTCTCATCAATCATCTTTTATTTCCAAGACTGTTAATCTGTTAATCTTGAAATTATTTGCCATTACTTATATTGAAGAATAACGTTAATTTACTTACTTGTCTGGTTCTCCGGGCTTGAAAAGGCTGCCACATGAGATTCTTCTCGTTGCAGCTGGTGAACAACTCAAGAATCTCCCATACTCCGGATCGGAACCCAATAGTTTCGGATTGTCAGAACACCGCCTTTCTCTGGTAGTCCCGATGCTGGGTTCAGGAGAGTGCACACTTAAGGTATCTGTGCCTTGGTCGAATAAGTCGCTCAGTACTGAAGCCATTCTACTTCCGTTTTTCAAACACTTCTTATCCTCGCTATGTGAAGGAGACGGTGGTTCAACCACAACACTCACTTGAGGAAATGCAAGCGTTTCATCACCGTCATCAGTCTTATCTTCTTTGTGGCTCAGCAGAGTTTTCGTGGGATGAAGTCTGTGTTTAGGACTTTCATCACCTTTGAATGACTCTTCTGTTGTGGGTATAAGATGTTTCAAACTAATATCATCTGCAACCCTTTTCTTTATACTTTTCTTCAATGGTTTTCTAAAAGACTTTCTAGCGATGTCATTTCCTTCCTCGAATTGTGCTAAACTGCAGTATTTGATCTGCTCTTCAACTTTCGTTGCGTTTTCGATGTAGAATACTCTATTTTCGAAACCAAACTTCTCCACTTCCGCTTCTTTGGGCTTTTTAATTTTCGATATGTATTTGATTTTGGACTCATTGTTCTTTTCTAAGCTTGGATTCCTGCTGTCCATCGCTATATCTGATACCGTATCGGAAGTGAAGAGGGTGGTGTCGTCCGTATACGTTTCGTTTTCCCCGTTTTTTCCCATCATAGCCATGAGGACATCCTGACCGAGCATGGAACTGATATCGTCCATGATAGATTCCCCGTGAAGCGTCTCCGAGTTGACGTAAGTTGTATCTGACGGCTCGGGGGAGTCGATGTGTCCTATACAGCCCGTTTCCTCCGCGTCTACATGTTTCGAATCAATAATCTCCGACATTAAACTAAAGTCATCGCTAATGTTGGACCCTTCTGAACTACTAGCGTCTACCTCCAAATCTACACTAGAAAGCTTTCTCTCGGGCGTGCATTCGCCGCTGACGGGCGTGGCTCGGGCGCTCAGCTCGAAATGAACGTCGTCCGTGTAAGGTTTATCGATGTCTATTATAGTCAATTGGTCCGATTCATAAGTTTCTCCCTGTAATATCGAATCTCGCTTATCGCTAACGTCTGAGACTACTAAGTTAGGTATCGTAAGACTACTACTATTATAGGTGTGCTCGGTGTCGGGTCGGGAGAGGTTCCGGCACGAGCTGGTATCACAGGAGGACAGGTTGGAGAGGGAGAGCCTCTCCTGGGGGGACGCCGAGTTCGTTTTGTTGCGCTCGTATTGGTCAACTTTCAAATTTAAAATCGGCTCCGGTAGGTTTGAACTAATTAACTTAGCTATGTCTTCATCGACATCTGGAATGCTGTAACGGAAAGATCGAATTAATTCATTGATATGATACCTACTTATATCTAGAAAAAACGGAGAATACATAATTTGCTTACACAAGTATAACTATAAAATATAAATAGTGCATTTATATTAAAATATGATATTTCCTTATTATATGCCTTTTCGTAAATTATTCATAACATAAGCGATGTGGTGTGAAATTTAAAAATGAAGCCCTGAATTCGGAATATTACATAAAATGTAAATCTTAAAAAAACGAGCGAGCCTTACAGTAGTCGCGTATGATGAATATGTAATGATTGTTACATTTGAAACCTCCCCTTATATTAGTAAAAAAAGAAAAAAAAACTTCTACAAAAGGAATAAGCCATTTAAACATTATGTTCTAAAATCAAATAGCGCACGCTTCCCAAACTTCCTGTTACACACTTCCGTACCACTTCACGTAATCACTCCCACAAATTGCACGAAAGCGAGAGGAAAGATGTTACACATCAATAACCATGTTTGTTGTAACATTGTCGTTTGACATGTGCCGTAGAGATAAAACAAAACCGACTTACTTCTCCGGGTGCATGGACGCAGCCGACACGGCCGAGGCGGCGGACGAGCGGCGACTGTCCGCAAACGCGCGCGGCACCGGCAGCGCAGACATCTCCACATCCGCCCCACCGCCCGCCCCCGCGCCCGCCCCCGCGCCCCCTCCCTCGTCCCCCTCTATCCCCCCCACCGCTTCTAGGTCGGCCTCCGCGCCGCTGGTGCACGTGTCGCACGACTCCGCTTCCTGCTGTAAAGAGATTTTTTTTTGAGACCTCTTTGCACATTTAAGAAAGACTAGCGGTCCGCCCTCGCTTCGCTTCGGTGTAGAGCTGAAGTGTAGACTACAGTTTTTGTTCTCGGGCTTGTATTATACACAATGATATTCATCTATGATTCTTCTTATACCTGCATGCAAAGTTTCAGCCCGATCGGTTTAAAATTGACAAAGTTTCATACAAACTTTCATTCCCTATTTTATTCCCCTTGCGGGTAGAATTGATCAAAATCCTTTCTTAGCGGATGCCTACGTCATAACATCGACCTGCATGCCAAATTTCAGCCCGATCCGTCCAGTGGTTTGGGCTGTGAGTTGATAGATCAGTATGTCAGTCAGTCACCTTTGAGTTTTATATAATGTAGAAATGTCCGAGTGGTGGTTATGGCCCGATCTCCCTATTCCATCCATAGGGAAAACTTGTACCGCTGCAGTAGTACATTGTTAGACCGATGATAATAAAGGAAAAAAGGAGTGCTTGTCTGGGTAAGCAAACCCACTTATATTCTCTCTACCGCTTTTAGGTCGGCCTCCGTACCGCTGGTGCATGTATCGCACCACTCTGCTTCTTGCTGTAGGTAAAGAAAAAGATTCTTAAAACCTCTTTGTTTATTTAAGAGAGAGCATCTATTACTCGATTATAACATTAAGATGGTTTGTCCACCTGGTGAGGGGCTTGTCCACTATGCGTCGTCCGGCGCGTGGTCGCCTCTCGCAACATTTTCTCAAATAGATCTACTAGTGGCGACCACTAAACGCGTCCACAATCTGTGTTCAAGTTACTTCATACACTCTGTATAGCATTCGGCGCAACCTAAGCGTTCGAGTGACCGCCACTAAGCCATTAGCGGCGGTGATCGGTGACTGCGTCTAGTGGCTTGTCTGTAGCCGCCTCTACTGGATCAAAGTGCTCCTGCTTTAAGGGTGGAACATGAAAATATGTGTCTTACTTGCAATACTGTAGGGTAGATCTGCACGAGTGTCCGCAAGAGTGAGTGCAGCGCGCGCCGCACGCTGTCGGCGCGCCCCGCCAACGAGCAGCCACGCGCCGCCCAGTTCAACTGTTCCTGGACAAAAAATCATTACGCTGGTCAGTTAAGATAGAAATAGCGGAGAACGCGGTATCCCACAGGTGCATGGAGGGACAGGAGTGAATGGATGAAAGAGAATGAAAAACAAACCGCCCAGCTCCGCTGCTACTGAACAAACAATCACGTAAACATCACGCTAGTGAAATTAGAATGCCAGAGGAACAACGTAAATCAAAAACGAAACGAAATGATTAAACTTCTGGACAAACAACAATAATAGTATGACAAAAGAATGCCAAAGAGATGACGTGGAGTGACAGGAGAGAATGGATAAAAGAAAAATGATAACTGCCCAGTTTAGCTGTTCCTGGATTAAGAATGATCATGCTATACTTCGACTTTTTATTAGCTGCAGTAAAATGACGTTTCAAAATGTCATTCCGTAAAATAATGTTGACAGCCTAATTTCAATAGGGATGTGCTTAGATTCACAGAAAATCTAATCGTTCCATAAGTAACTCATAATGATCATACTTAATTCTATTTATTATTCATATTAAAAGGCCAACTTCTTCGAAGAGACATTGAGAAAAATTATGAAGCATCTTAATTTCAAATTTGCTACTCGATCACGCAAGAGCGTACTTATTGATAGACAAGATATCATATCATGGCGCCAGCGCTACCTGCGTTTAATTAAACAATATCGTAGGGAGGGAAGATATATGTATTTTCAAGACGAGACCTGGATCAACGCTGGTAAGTGGCAACTCTTAGTTTTCTATGTTTGATCCCATTTTATTTAGCTGTCGAAACATATGATTATTTTTTGTTCTTTCAGGTCATACTACAAAAAAAACCTAGAGTGGTGGAAGTATAAAATCTTCTCGGCAGGCATTTTTAGATGGTCTTACTACGGGATTAAAAAAATCCACAGGAAAGGGCAAACGACTCATAATCAGTCACATGGGCGGAGAAGAAGGCTTCCTGGACGACGGATTTCTTATGTTTGAAGCAAAGAAAGGTTACCATGATGAAATGAACGCAGAGTGTTTCGAGGAGTGGTTCGACGGCATTCTACCCAAACTCAAGCCGAATGCAGAAGTCGTAATGGACAACGCGCCCTGTCATACTAGGAAGATCGAAACAATCCCAAAAATATCGTGGATGAAAGCACGAATTCAAGAGTGGCTGACCACTAAAAATATTACATTTGAACCAAATATGGTGAAGGCCACTCTCATAGATATATATATATTGTGAAACAACAAAATCATACTGAGAAATGTGCCGTGGACGAGATTGCTGAAAAAGGTATCAGACTTTTAACACTGCCCCCTTATCACTGTGAATTGAACCCCATCGAGTTGGTTTGGGCTCAGGTAAAGGGGCACGTCGCAATCAATAATAAAACATATAAAATGCAAGAAGTGAAAACTTTATTCCAAGAAGGAATCAACAAAGTGACACCGACTAGGTGGAATGACTGTGTGTCTCACATTATAAAAGAGGAAGACAAAATGTGCCACGTCGATCATATTATAGAAGAAGTGACAGACAGATTTGTCATTAGTGTGACCGGAAGCGATAGTGATTCCGAAAATGATTGATTAATAAATTACATTGTTATGACAATTTTGTTTAATTTTGGATGTACGTCCTTTTACTTCCACTGAAAAAGATCAATCCTTTACTAAAGTAATAATAATAGAATAAAAAAAAACATTACAACTTAATATTAAATCTCTTAAATAAAACCAAATTGATCACTCATTTATTGAATGATTCACTTGCTCACTTAGCTACATCCCTATTTATTTTTCTTCAAAAAGCGGTAACCCACAAAACGTCATAAAAAGTTCTACTTTAGTGAGAAGAGCGTTTCTTCTTCAGAGAGACGTGGAGTTGTCGAAATGACACAGAAAGCGCCGTGATGTTCCAAAGATGCAGGACTTAGCTTGTTAGTTAAGATAGAAACAGCGGTGAACGCGGTGTCCTACAGGTGTATGGAGGGACAGCAGTAAATGGATGAAAGAGAATGAAAAACAAACCGCACAGTTCAGCTGCTACTGAACAAACAATCACGAAACATCATGCTAGTGAAAAGAGAATGCCAGAGGAACAACGTAAATCAAAACGAAACGAAATGATTTAACTTCTGGACAAACAACAATAATAGTTTGACAAAAGAATGCCAAAGACATGACGTGGAGTGAAACGAGAGAATGGATAAAAGAAAAAATGATAACTGCCCAGTTCATTTGTTCCTGGATTAACAATGATCATGCTAGTGAGAAGAAACGCCAGAGAGACGTGGAGTTGTCGAAATGACAGAGGAAGTGCCGTGATGTTCCAAAGATGCCGCCGGACTTAGCTTGACAAGAGAATCTCAGAAGAGAACGTGGAGTGGAAAGAATGAATAGATGAATGAGAAATGATGAAAGAACTGCCAAGTTGAGCTGCTCCTGGACAAACAATCATCTAACCACAACATACAAACAAGCATAATATAATAGCTTGACAAGAGAACATCAAAGAGAGACCGTGGAGAGGTAATGGCATAAAATGCGGGGTATGAGATAACAAGTAGATTATATAGCAAGTACCTTTTCAGTCTTTTCTATGCTGCCCTTCTCGACAGCGGGTTGTGCTTCGGGTTCACTGTCGCTCGTACCTTCAAGAGGCTCCCAAGATCTAGGAAAATAATATGGATTAGTTAATCAAACTTATTGTAAACTAAATCAATTGTCGGCGTTATTAAAGAAGCTGGACAGCGTAGTAGCGTAGCAGCGCGGTTCCCTCGCGGTTGCAAATGTTAAAAGATTTTCATTATAAAGCTGCTCATAAGATGAGTGACCCCTGCGCATTGTATACACCCCGGGCAACTTCTTGAGCAACAACCATAGACAAGGAAGTCTGCGCAGTAGCAATTTTACCTACAAAAACTTCTACTGCACAAGTTTATTCGTCTGTGGTTTTGCTCAAGAAGTTTGCGCGCGCCGCAGCAGGTGCGTGTGTGTATGTACCTGCAGCACGCGTAGTCGTGCGCCAGGTGCGCGCACGCGTGCAGCGGTAGAGATAGCGCGTGTCGCAGCCGGTGCGCGCGTGTGAGTGCGTACTTGCAGCGCGCGTGGTCATGCGCCAGGAGCGCGCGCGCATGCAGCAATAGAGATAGTGCGCGCCGCAGCCAGTGCTAGTGAGTGCGTACTTGCAGCGCGCGTGGTTTTGCGCCATGTGCGCGCGCGCAATCAGCAATAGAGACAGTGCGTGTGAGTGCGTACTTGCAGCGCGCGTGGTTATGCGCCAGGTGCGCGCGCGCAAGCAGCAATAGAGACAGTGCGTGTGAGTGCGTACTTGCAGCGCGCGTGGTTTTGCGCCAGTTGAGCGCGCGCAAGCAGCAATAGAGATAGTGCGCGCCGCAGCCAGTGCGTGTGAGTGCGTACTTGCAGCGCGCGTGGTTATGCGCCAGGTGCGCGCGCGCAAGCAGCAATAGAGACAGTGCGTGTGAGTGCGTACTTGCAGCACGCGTGGTTATGCGCCAGGTGCGCGCGCGCAAGCAGCAATAGAGACAGTGCGTGTGAGTGCGTACTTGCAGCGCGCGTGGTTTTGCGCCAGTTGAGCGCGCGCAAGCAGCAATAGAGATAGTGCGCGCCGCAGCTAGTGCGTGTGAGTGCGTACTTGCAGCGCGCGTGGTTTTGCGTCATGTGCGCGCGCGCAAGCAGCAATAGAGACAGTGCGTGTGAGTGCGTACTTGCAACGCGCGTGGTCATGCGCCAGGTGCGCGCGCGCGTGTAGCAGTAGAGACAGTGCGTGCCGCAGCCAGTGTGTATGAGTGCGTACCTGCAGTGCGAGTGGTCGTGGGCCAGGTGCGCGCACGCGTGTAGCAGTAGAGACAGTGCGTGCCGCAGCCAGTGTGTATGAGTGCGTACCTGCAGTGCGAGTGGTCGTGGGCCAGGTGCGCGCGCGCGTGTAGCAGTAGAGACAGTGCGTGCCGCAGCCAGTGTGTATGAGTGCGTACCTGCAGTGCGAGTGGTCGTGGGCCAGGTGCGCGCACGCGTGTAGCAGTAGAGACAGTGCGTGCCGCAGCCAGTGTGTATGAGTGCGTACCTGCAGTGCGAGTGGTCGTGGGCCAGGTGCGCGCGCGCGTGTAGCAGTAGAGACAGTGCGTGCCGCAGCCAGTGTGTATGAGTGCGTACCTGCAGTGCGAGTGGTCGTGGGCCAGGTGCGCGCGCGCGTGTAGCAGTAGAGACAGTGCGTGCCGCAGCCAGTGTGTATGAGTGCGTACCTGCAGTGCGAGTGGTCGTGGGCCAGGTGCGCGCACGCGTGTAGCAGTAGAGACAGTGCGTGCCGCAGCCAGTGTGTATGAGTGCGTACCTGCAGTGCGAGTGGTCGTGGGCCAGGTGCGCGCGCGCGTGTAGCAGTAGAGACAGTGCGTGCCGCAGCCAGTGTGTATGAGTGCGTACCTGCAGTGCGAGTGGTCGTGGGCCAGGTGCGCGCGCGCGTGTAGCAGTAGAGACAGTGCGCGCCTCAGCCGGTGCGCCGCGCGCGCCGCGTTGCCTCCCGCCCGCTCACCGGCAGCCGCTAGTCGCGCGCACCCCGACCGCAACGCGCCGATCGCCACGCAGCTCACCTCGCCAGCCTGCAACACGCACCACAACGCATGTTACAAATATATGAATAGAACCACACCGAATAGAATTCTTATGTTCATCGAAAAGTAAATTGTATCCCAAATGTATACGCCATTGCAATGACCTTATGGACTACAAGTCCTGTTGGTTCCTGAGGCTGCACCTGCACTGGTACGGTGACTGCGACGCGATGATTTTGCATTTCTGCTTGTACTGCGCCGTTATTTCGTAAGTTATTTTTTCTTTACTCCACAAGGGACATTCTAATTATAGTGTAATTAATTATTAGTCATGTCCTTGCTCTTGACAAGGTGGTCTTGGTCATGTCTTGATCGATTCCTGTGCCACCGATGCATTCGCGATGCGGCGCCACGGCAGATCAATGTTTTGCAGAGCGAGAGTAATCATTTATGCCAGATTCGATGAGTCTAGGTTATGGGTAATTAAAGTGTGATTATGTAAGAATTTACGTACCTGCATGATATCTTGCAAGTTCTTGAGTAACGAATTCTCTTCTAATAAGTCAGGTGGCGCGGGCGGAGGCGGGGGCGCTGTCAAAGCTCTCTCGAATGTCATGATGGACCATCTGTATAGAGAAATTGATCAATCTTAAATCATGTACCTATTCTCGATATTTGTATTTCTAATAATATATTCTATTGATTGATGTATTTTTGAGTAATGAAGCGGTAAAAACCATCTATCATCATCTAACTATTTAGGCAATCAGTAATTCTCTCGCTTGCTAATGCAGATTCTAAAAATACACTGGTAGCTATCTACTTACCATAACAATTAAATTATAAAAACTAAGGGCGCGTTATTACATTGATAGTATGATTATAGTTAAAGCCTCGTCAAATACATACCTAGTAAATGTGTCAAAGTTTTACCAAGCGTTGTTTTTTTTCTATAGATATTACATACAGTAAAATGCGACAGCGTTGTTTAAATACTAGAAAAAAAATAACCATTTGTCAAAATTTTACACATTTACTGGTGTCGTTTCTGGCGTTATTCTCTCATCTGAAAATTAAATTTAAAATCAGTCTCTCCTTTTTATCCTGTATAGGGAACGACAAGGATACACTGTTGACAAATTTAAGTTTAGGTTCAGAGAATAATGCTAGTATCGACGCCACTTTGTACATATTTGACGTTGTTCGGTGCTACGCAAACGAACAGTAATTTGCGATTCAGAAAGCTGCACTTTTACATAAAATATGTAATTAATTTAGTACGTAATTAGCTACATAACAATTTTCGTATTTATAATATATTTCACATTTTTTTAATTATTTTACAATTGTGAGTTTAATTATTATTATACAGTTTTACAAGGACTTTGGACTTATTCTTTTCTGACCATATAAAAATTAAACTCAAACTCATTTATTCAGTCTAGGCTGTTACAAGCACTTATGAAGGTCAAGAAGCTACGCCATCGGTAAAGGACAGGACGCTAACCATCGAGCGGATAGAAAAAAAAAATCAGATGTGACATTAACTACAGAGAAATTTTACTATATATGGAACAACGCGGCCTTAGGAAGTCAGAAAAGGGAGACTTTTGAATACAGGAGTTTTGTGAGTACCTATTATTCTCATGCGATTATGTAGTTTCTTGAGGTACTCCGACAGCCCTCAGCTTCCCACAAGAATGAAGTTATTAAGACTTACACAGGCAAAAAAGGAAGAAGAAATTATTGAACATTGTTATCTACACAATCTTCATCCTTACCTATCCAGCATCTTGGTGGAAGCCCGCTCGTATCTCTCGAGTAGCTGCTGCAGGTTCGCCGCGTCGTCACAGGAGGCGCCCCAGCCCAGCACCCTCGCCAGGTCGTTGCCAGTACCCAGGGGCAGAACAGCGGTTTGTACTTGACGCTGGCCAACCAAAAATAGCATATTACGGAGGCATCCAGCAACATGGAAGGAAGGGAGTAGTCATACAGCAGCTTTCCCCTCTTTCAAGGAAACCCAAAGTCACTAAGGCCTCATAGAGAAACCAATTATCTTGGGCCTCAACATAAAACCGCCTTATTTAGAGGGGGATTCAAATTTGCCGCGAATTTGAGTAAGATGTGGAATGACTTAGCTCCTCCATTACGAGGGTCTATAAGTATCAATAGATACAAAATATTAATTTGTGCTCATTTATTACATAAAAAAATAAAGAAATCCCCAGTTTATGTAAAGATTATACCTCCTCGGAAAGAAACAGTTTAAGCCACGACATAATAGAATTGATACGATTAAAAATGCAGCACAACTCTTGAGTCATACATTGCCTACATGTTGAAATCATTCGGAGCGGACGTGCTGCCTTCTCTCGCCGAGTCTGGCTCGTAACCTAAACTTGTGCTCATAGTTCCCGCTGGGATGAGTTCAAATACTGTCTTACTTTAATAACAATTGTAATGATGTTCTCTTTTCTAAAAAAGTTAAACGTAAACAATTGTAACGCCAGTCTGTCCTACTCCTTAGCTTAACGTTGTCAGTCACTGCGTGAGATTCCGAGCTATCAAGCTATTTAATGTTCTCCCTATAGAATTGAAAACCATTTACAGTCCATATAAATTCTAAGACAAACTTAAAATGTTCTTGTTGAAGAAGTGTTACTATTCCATAGAAGAATATTTAGATGACAGAAATTTAAATCTAATATGAAATTTCTTTGACATGTTTAAATTATAGTCGATTTATTTGAAATTGTATGCTGTCATTTTAATAATATTTAATTTTATTAATATTGCATGAAGTAGTAATTTAATTGTAAATTGTTTGATTGACTTTGAAATGTTATTATATAAGATTTTTTGTAATTTTATGCTAATCATATTTAAATGGATTGTAATTTTCATTTTATCTAATAATTTTATTGTAAATTGTTTGTGATTTCCAATACGACGACGATGTTTAAGGAATAAATGACTATGACTATGTCCTATTTTAAATTTTGATCTGTTGGCCGTTGGGACCGTCTTGACAGTCCAGGAGAAATTTATTAATGTACTGCTCTTTGGGTTCTAGGTGCTAAGTCTACCTATCGCACGAAGAGGACTGACTCCTGTTTCCCAAAGGCTGCTGGAGGATTTTCGGCCGGAAAACAGCTACACCATTTGAACGTAAGGGACAGTCGTTTGCTGTACCTACCAACATTCCTTGCTGACGCCTGAAGTTTCAAAGGAGCTGGACCTTCGACCTTATCTGCAGAAAGATACTCCCAGGCCTGTGTTACTCTCTATTATTCCCCTTCACCTGCGAAGACGCGACGGCCACAGAATTGTATTTGGGCACAATATGAAGATTTATTATCTACTATGTGGTGTGTGTAGTAACTATATATTGATATATACACACTTATCTTCGCCCCATATATGTTCATGTAGAGCAATAATGAAGAACCTTATAACCGCAGTATGTCTATCATTCGTTGCGCCCTCGACAACCATCATCGCAACTAAGTCAATCTTTATTTCCGAACCCATTACCTGTGACCCTTAACGGCCGCAATTACTATAGTGTTGATGACCATGGAAGCTTAAAACAATATAGTGCTTGAAATAGAATTTTGCCGACAAGGTTTTTTGAAGGGTCAACGTTTAAGATGATAGACCGCCCCCCCACCAGTTAGAAGTAGATCAACAAAATGTCCTTCACGGTCGCAATCGCGGGAAGCCTCTGGATGTAGACGTCACAGGATCAATTGTTGGATTGTGGATACAATTGGGGGCCTATAGACCAGCAGTGAGTATTGTAAATCTGTGATAACATGGCTTGTTTTAGTATTCTGCATAAATTTACGAGAAAGTTGCTTGTGGCATAGTGCTAACCTAGTTACTTAGTTATTACAAGAGATTACAATTGAATCATAACGAAGTGAAAACTTGACTGCTGAGGCGCGGCAAGGAGCAGAACGTATCACACTTAACATTGACACTAATTTGCAGTCTCTATAAAGAAATAAGAAGAGCTTTTCTTACGTGCATATCTAGCTTGTCTACTTCTTGCAGGACCCAACCCACGGAGCCATCTCCAGAACAGACCAGGACTCGCAACGGAGCGAAGTGTCGGAACAACCGGAGCCCGAGCCTCGGTCCAGCTCCGCTCAGCTCGAACACTTGCGCTGGGTTGAGAAGCTGTTTGAACCGCCTGAGGAACTTCACGCCTTGGTTGTCACCTAGAACGAATTGCATAAAATGCAAGGATAGCAATGGTCTGTTTTGGAACAGATTGGCGCGGTTCAGAAAAACTATAGTCCATTTTTGTCACGGATAGCAAGACCGTGGAATGATATATTTTGTAGCATTTATAATACGTTTATAGGGCGCTATTACATCGCATTTTAAGAACTATCTTAAACCTGGTCGCGATCGCGAGTTGATAAAAACTATGAGTGGTGATGATAAGGCGATCAGTCGGGCATCGACGTATCATCGGGGCTGATCAAATGCTGGGGTACAACAGCTTATACACGTAAAGTCATATATATTACCTGATCGTGAGTTGACGAAGACTATGAGCGGCGAAGCGTTAGGTGGTCGGTCCGGTACCCAGGCGTCATCAGGGCCCACAGAGTGCAGGCGCGTGGGAGGCACGATGGACGCGCGAGCCGGGCCTAGCATACACGCGGCGCGCCAGCTCGGCTTGCACGCTGCGTGCACGCATTTCCGACACCACACGCATCTGAAGTCTTGTAGCCTGCGGCAAATTCCATAGTACTAAATGCAAGAAAATTTTGACCCCTAATAAGTTTCATGTTGCAGCTAGAATAAAGGATAAGATTTGAAGAATTTTAGAAATAGGTAATATAAGCACCTTGAAGGAAGTTGTTGATTGCAGACTTTAATTGTTATGAAAGGTTGAAGGGGAAAGAAGTGGGTGAACTAGTAGGTACCTAATATGTATAATAAAATTGTAAAAGTTGGTGCTCACTGCTCAGTGACTTTCAGACGATAATGGCAAGGCTACGTTTTTTGATATGAAGCGTCAAGGCAAGCATTTTTGTGATCTAATTTTGCCCCGAAACGAAAAGTTAAATAGTTCAAAGAAAAATACGTTTCTATAAACTATCTGTGTGGTCTGCATATTTTGTGAAAATTTTCTAATTATAAACTGTTTTATCTGTATAAAAGCCCTTAAAACAACATTTTGAGATACACTATGTCTCACTAGATATAAGTGGCTTGTAACTCTTCTATTTCCATTAGGTATACGATTCAAAATTGTATGTTACATACATTGTAATCCCCCTGTAGCAGTCTGCCACATGTCTCACGAATTAACATACTAATGAAATTGGGTCAGAGCGAGGGCGTCTCGAATGCACTCTGAGATGTCACTCCACTGAATTTATTTGAATCTCAAATTGATAGGATATCACTCGAACAGAATCTAGATCGCCATCTATCTACTTTGCGAGTATCCACTTCGGGGGGAAATGTCCCCAATAAAGAGTCATCAAATAGGAAGAATGGGCCCTTAACTCGATTGATGTGAGTACTAACTTTCACAAAAGCTGGTAATTGGATGAGATATTTTTGAAATCCTATGGATGAAAAAAGATGAAAGTTGTAGGGTAACTCGGGTAAGGCTAAAACACTACGAGTGGCACGCGCGACAATATATATATGTATAATTAATATAGAGATGAAAAACTACAAGACTTGTTAACTATATTTATTTCTTATGCTTTCACGCATACCACTCATTAATTAAAACTACTTTGAACCGGTTTAAATGCATTTTTTAATACTTTTACACATAACTGAACGTTTCGCATCCTTTTCAGGCTACGTTATCAAGAATATGATTTTTATTAAAAATTCTCGTGTTTTTTAGGCTGCGTTGTCAAGACTGTATCAAGAATTTTTAAATAATTGTTGTGTAGTAGTTTAATATTAACTTTAATAATTCGGCTAAGCAACTAGAGATATAAAGTCATCTAAAGAAAAAAATATAACCATAAATATAGTGTAATATAAAATATGTAATAACTTTATTAAGACTAAACTAAGACAACTGCTATAATAATAATTAGCTCATCGCAGAGCATTTACAAATAAAAAAATATATATTTTTGAATAAGTACGGACCCAAGCGTCTGTAGACTATAAAGAAACACACAAAGAATGTTTGTAGTATCGGTTTTAGGCACAGAACACAGAAAGAGGTTAGAAGGATGATCAAAGATCGTATGTGCGGGAACCGTTGTCGCTAGCTTGCCCCTGCTACACTTCCACCTAAAAGATAATAGCCAATCAAACGACGCGACATCAAACAATTGAACCAATCAGCGCTCACACCCGAGAGCAACGACGCAATCAGAACAAAGTTTTGATTAAGTTATGAGCATTTGCTCACACATAACTGTGGCGTGTCTGCTCCGCCTACAAGGCTGTTCTAACCTCTTTTTGTGTTCTGTGGTTTGAGGCCCGCATGGTAAGTTATTACTAGAGGTCCCCCTGAGTGATTGTTTCCCACATGAAATACCTGTGCCGCGGTAACATTGTTTTACTTTGATTTCTGTTGAATGAAACAAAGGGCATCAAAATCCGATTCGCTAACTGGAAGTATACTATAAACGCGTAATTAAGTTAATCTCATTTTTAAATTAAGATACTTTTACATATTTTCTCCTAATACCTACATCCGTAGGTTTTATATAAAACTGATTTATTAAAAATATTTTGACACTCAACTTATTAAATCTTTATTATTGCGTAACGGCGTTCCTTACAGTTCAACAACGGAAATTGCAATGGCTATACCTATAGCTTATGATTTCATTTTGTCATTTGTGACCGCCGAAGCTTTTTAAATGCCTCGTGCTCATTTTTTTCTTTTGGATTCGTAATAACAATATTAAAAAAATAAAAGCGTGAAGTGTTTGAAAACCTTTCAGAAATAACAAAATTAAATCATAAGCTTACGTATAGCCAAAGCAATTCCGATAGGCAGTAGGCACCCAGGATTGACAAATTAATTACTTTTTATCCCGGAAAATATAAGGTTCTTTTGGGATTCTTGAAACTTAAACTACTTATAGGATTAATTGGTCCACCTATAGATTTTCTGGAATTAATAATTAAAAAAAAATTAAGGGACTTTTCACTCACGCATACGAATGCGATCCGGTATTTGAATCAAACTGAAAATAATATTTATTTATGTTCCTAAACACGTTCGTGTTAAGCCCCTTTTATAATAGATTTCACAACAGCAGAATATTTAATAGTAATTAGTATATTAAGCAAAAATACAATTAACGTTTGAAAGATATAAAAAAGCGAGTGTGCTTATGACCACACGACTGAAGTGAAACTTCTTTAGCTCCAATGATCAGAAAATCATAAACTTAACCTAAAGATTTGTTGATAGAAAAAAAAAACACCAATCCGCGTTGGGTCTGTTATCACCCTCCAATCCGAACTGGCTCCATTATCACCCAACAATCCGCGCAGGGTCCGTTATCAACTACCAATCCGTACTGGGTCTGTTATCACCCACCAATCCGCGCTGGGTCCGTTATCACCCACCAAACCGCGCTAAGTCCGTTATCACCCACCAATCCGCCCTAGGTCCGTTATCACCGACCAATCCGCGCTGGGTCCGTTATCACCCACCAAGCACTAGATCCATGTATTTTGTGACGGGTATTGTTCATTGTTTACCGATGAGTCACCGATGACACTAAACATAACGCAAAAATCCCAGTTTACCCCCCAAGTCAAGCGTGCCTAAAAAAGTTTCACTTTAAAAATTGTTATAATAATGCGTCATATTTTATCGTAGAAGCATGGTTTTCCAATTTACCCCATTTATAGAAAATCATTTTGGAAACTAGCACCATCTTTTGAAATATTATCCGTGCCATTGAGATTCTTATTTAGAATTTCAATTTATCGAGTCGAGGCAAAAACACGAGTCGTAAATCCAGCAACACGTGTAAGTAAATGCGTGACCTATAAATAACTTCACTTCACATTAAGCAGGCTCAAGTGTAGGCACTACACGCGTATTACTGCAATGGACGGTTCTATATTTGGCCTACACAATGCACTCATTCTGGAAAGCTCAGATCACGTTTTCAGATTCAATGGAAATGCTTATTCAATGGATCGAGTTAGGACTTCTATTGAAAATATGACTAGAAATAATTCTACGCGGTACAGGCAGCAGACGGCCTGGTCCGCGTGGATTTTTTTAGTAACATTTTTTTAGATTTGAACATCGAGCAGTCACACCAGAAGACGGCTCGCGATTGCGTGTTGGCGCGTAGATTACATCCGTGTAGCCAATATAATATATGCCAATGGAAACCAAGTTCCCACGCACGCTGGATTACATCCGTCTGGAATAGGCTTTACGGGGAAGATATCGCCAAGAAGCAAACCTCGAATTTTGCAATTTTTATACGCAATTTTTAGCGTTAGCTACTGTTGTCCCTATCACACGGTATTTTCCAGTGCGTGACAACAATAGTCTTTTGAAATACCTATTTCTCAAATGTCTCTCAGCTCGCGTGCGCTTTTAAGCAAGTTTCGCAATGGCCGCTCATCGGATGGACGAATTTATTATACTCCTCCGTGCTTAGGGGAAGCTACGTTAAGTCGTTGGTCCCGGCTGCATTCATTCAAAATTCAAAAAATTCAAAATTCAATATCGTTTATTCAGTCTAGGCTATTACAAGCACTTGTGAATGTCGAAAAGTTACGCCATCGGTTCGCAAATCTACGGCGGGAGACCTTGTACTGAGAAGAACCGGCAAGAAACTCAGCAAGGGCTGTTTTTTTCTCCCTGTATTATATACAGAGTCGTCAAATTGAAAAATGACTTCAATATGAGGTAACTCATAAAGTCACTTTTCATTACAAACAAAAAAAATGCAAATAATATAAAAATTATGACTATAAAATAAAAAATAAAAATATTTAAAAAAAAAATGGTTTAACAAAGTTTAGGAATGACGTGTCCTACCGTTTAGGCAAAAAAATAATAATAAAAATAATGAACGATTAAAGTTTAGAACAACGATTAATAGTACCCAGTGAATTAAGAGCAGACTCATCTCCGCTGGCAGCACCCGTTCACGAGCATGACGCATGAACCAGCCATCGCTTCGCTCAACCATTTTTTAGGGAACGCAACGACCCGCCTCACACGACACCACCGAAGAGATTTTTAAGAGAGCATGACTACTCATAACCACACATGGATACTATGTTACTAAAATAGAAAAAAAAAATTACATATAGGTACCAGTGTACATTATTATAACAAACTATAAACACATCGGCAGGACACATGCATGTGATTACCTAAACACTGTTGTCGACTCTGGCAATACTCTCCCAACCCAAAACCAAATCCAACATCAGTCCCCCCTTTTCAGTCTGTATAGAGAATGACAAGGATACACCGCTGCAAAACCAAGTTCAGGTCTAGAAAAACATACCAGAATCCACACCGCCATTAAATCTTTATCAGAGAAATAATATATGTTCACTTGCATTTTGATTGCTGTGTCATACAGTATAAATACAAGTTATGTAATGTAAAATACAATCAAAATTTTATAATAATTATCATTACAATAATAAAGTAGTATAGAGCAGACTCATCTCCGCTGGCAGCACCCGTTCACGAGCATGACGCATGAACCAGCCATCGCTTCGCTCAACCATATTTTAGGGAACGCA